GTGAGTTTTGAGTGACAAAGTTAGCAACAATTTGCAACTTACAGGCTGGAAGACTATACTACACCTCTGTGTGGTGAGGTCATGACTAGAGGGAAGCAAAGGGAGGACCTTAGATAGAAAATTTAAGGCAATACCCCATATGCCTCCCTCTAGTCCTGGGCCTGCTGATCAGTTAATGCCCAAGATGATAATTTATTTTCCCCACATCATATTTCCCTCCCATTCAGAAACTGAGTATCTAATATTCCCTGGATCTCATGACCTGAAGCTCCCCTCAAAGTGAACCTGTTTCTGGTGTTGTCAGTTACCTGTGCTAGCCCAGCTTGGTGCTGTCTTTGTATAACTGTCTACCTGATACAGTCTATGTAAGTCTTTAAGACCCAAGCTACTCTATGTTACTCCAAGTCTCCTAGCTCCTCAAGGAGGAGAAGCAGCGTCAGTTGGTGGAATGTTGCATGTCCATGGGAGACTGTCTAGTCTACCTCTGATCTATTATTCTACAGCAGACCCTGAATGGCTTGGCATTCAAAAGACCTTCTCAGAAGTTGGGGTTGGTCCCTTCTCTTGACACACGTAACAGGTATCTTGGGAAGGTGCTGTTGGAAGTTTCTAAACCCTTCCTTATCCTGCCACCAGTGACTATGTCAAAATACAAGTTATGGCACTATCTCCTCAAAACCTGCAAGCCTCTGACAGGCAAAGGCCTCCATGATTGGGTACCAGGATACTATCATCCTTCAACTCAGTTTTTCTACCCTCAGGACCACTGGGTGCAGCCACACCAAGTTGCTGCCTGAGGCCTAAGCACTGCTCCCTCTTTCCCCCATTGAGCAGGATGGTGAAGTATTTCATAGTGGGGACTCTCAAACTCCCTGGGTTCAAATCTTCCTAATCTAAAAGTCTAGATTTACTAGACTCTAACTGTCTGTGGTTTGCCTTCCTTATCTATAAAATAGGGGAGAGAGAAATACCCGCTCTTGGAGTTGTAGCTGGAAGTCAATGAGCTTACAGATCTAATGCTCTTAAATGACACCTGGCATCTGGTAAGCCATAAACAAGAGTGAGTAAGAGTATAAGAAGAGGATTCTCATCATACAGGACTATGTTAAATGAAACCTTAACAAACCATGCTCATTCTGCCCAACTAGAGGTAAGCCCAGCTCCCAGTTTTCTCAAACCATGCAAGTATATCTCCAAGCTATTGTGTTCCATTTTGTTGTATATGTGAGTCTGTCTCCTGCATTCAACTGAGTGTTTTCAAAGACAGGGGCTTACTCTGATCCACCTTACTTTAGACCCCTCAAAGACTTGCCCTAGCACCTTGATACAGTAAGTACTTACTAAATATTTGCAGGCTTGGGATTAATCTGAGATAAGGAATGGAAGCATGTAGCTAAAACACATAGACTTTTGGGATTGCACTGCAGGATACAGTGTGAGAGCCCCCACATTTACTCTATGCTGTCTACCCACTGGAGAAATAGGCTTAGCATCCAGAAAGCACTGGGGAATGCAACTGCTTGAAGGTGGCTGCGCCATGAATGGAATGTGAATGTAGCCAGGGAATCTGCTTCACCTGTAGTCAGTGTGCTTTTTTCTAGAGACTTTCTAGAGGGCTTTCATTGGATGCTCACAGGTCTGTGGGGCCTCCAAATTAAGAACCCTTTACTTAGTTATTTAGAGACAAAGTTTTTGCCCTGTAGGGTCTTATAACTGAAGAATGACACAGCTGTGCTTATAAGGCACAAACCCACGGAAGTAGGGAGAACTGGGCTATGGGCGCAGTTTTCAGTGGAAAACTAGGAGAGACTCTTTAAATAATTCCAAGTCGAGAGGCCAACCAGGAAGGTAGGTAAGAGACCTGGGAACCTCCCATGGCCTGCTCCTCCTCAGGGTGTGAAACCAAAAGTTATGTGTCATGACACAGAAATCCCTGGCTCGGAACACAGGCACTCATCATTTGGCTCAGTCTGGCTGTGAGGGTTATTTTCTGTCAGGGTGACCAAAAAAAAAATATCCTGCATCATGATTCCAGCACAAAAAATGAGGGTGTTCACCTAATGCTTGTGCAGAGACAAGTGACACCTAAAACCAGGGTAAGCCTGATACCAGAACAAGGGGAGATAGAGACCATTAGTGCAGAATCCAGCAGCATTACATGCAGGCAGAGGTTTGCAAGGAACCCTCACGTAGAAGCCTGTTTTATTTGCAGAAGCCACAGTGGTAAATTAAAGCCCATCCTTGTCCATTCTGAGCTGTCCGATTTCTCTTGGAGCTATTCCTATCACTGCCTATAGGCCACTAAAATCTGCCCACGTTCAGAATGATTGATTCTGCTCAAACAGCAAGCCACAAACTGATGTTGAAAAACCCACTTCAAATAAGTCATTAGCTTCCTTTATGGATTTTTCAGGTCATAAGGAATAGGACCTAGGAGCCCTATATTCTGTAGTATAGAAAGGGAGTATTTGAAGAGGTGGGGGTACCTGGAGAAACCACAGGTTGCTGCAGGAGCTCTTCTATCTCCTATCGGTCAACAAGGGGGACCTAGCAATGACAGGTCCTGGCAACATCAGTGCCAGGGCCACAGATTCAAATCCGACCAAACTACCTATGGTTTCTTCATTGATACACTGAAAGCAAAGGAAAATTTAGAGAAGGTAGCCTGCCTTTGCTCACACCTCAGATAGAGTACGTAGAGCACCTGGAATGCAGCAACTCACAGCAAAGAAGTTTCTAAGACTTTCTGACTTGACTTGGGACAGCCCATTCCAGCTGAACTGGAATCGAGACTAAAGCAGCTGGTGGGGCAAAGCAAATTGGGGACAGAAGCAGTGGCCATAGCAGCAGCGCAAAGGCATATCGAGTTCCTAGCTTGGCAAATTTCAGCTCACCACCTGACCTTCATTTAGCAATTCTGATGGACCATGGAGCAGACAGCTCTAGCCCAGGATGACTGCCTCCCTTAGCCCCTCTCCGACAGGCAATGAAAGCAAGACCCACTTTGAAAATTCTCCCCCATCATGCAAACTGACATAGGCATGCTTTTCAAAAACCCACAGCCAATCTGTTGATCATTACTTATTTACAAAGGCCTTCGGGCAGAAAGTCCTGTAAAAACCATACTTGATACGGTACACACTAGCTTTTTCTGCTTGTGGAAAAAAAGTCCCCCCAAGGCTACCTCAAACCATCACTTTCTATTGCACATAAAATGTAGCGTGTAACACTAAAGTATTTAATATATATGGTATAATATATCTACAGGAAAGGCATTTGTGTAGAAGTATGTTACCCTGGATTTGGTAATTTGATGTTTTGCTGAAGGCTACGACTTAAAAAAGCTTCCACCTCGTACAGAAGACCTGTCATCCTGGTACCCAAGAGCCAACAGAATAAAGAAGTACCCTTAAGCAGCAAAACTTTGACACAGCTTTGAAGCATATGAAAACAGTATAACTCCTCAGAATTATTATTACTCAAGATCAAAGAAATGAGCCATACTTTACATAGCGAACAGGGACAGGGAATTTGGCTCCAAAGGTTTCAGATTTTTCAGGCTTCTCTTTATTTATTTATTTGGTTCTCTAAATTTAGGCAAAAGAATGCGCCTGGGCTTTTTGCTACTTTAAATGGATAAAACTATTAGCATTAGATAAGGCGATTACCTAAAGGTGAGTAAATAGGAAATGAACGCTAGCACGACAACTGGCATCGTAAAAAATGAGGAGCTTGGCAGTTGGCACATTTTATTCCTCCTCATAAACTGTAAACAAGCATGTAAATCAGCAACACCCAAGCAAGGCTGAGCAATGGGGAAGGCACAAGGCTGTTACGCAAACATTTAACAGGAATCTGTGATCACAGCGGGACAGGACATGGGGCTGGGACCGTCTTCCAGTGGGAATCTGTGTCTTCAACCTCATGGAGAAGACTGCGCCTGTCTCGTTCTTAGAAAAGTGGCTCGGAAAAATATGAATGTGATGGAGAAGGGGTGGAGGAGGGAGGAAATTACCATTATTTTATTTCAATTATCAAAAGGAGGAGGTGGTCGAAGGCAATGAAAAGAGGGAAGTCAGGTCAATCTGGCAGACATTTTCATGGAAGAACACCACCATTTAGAGAGAACAGCACAAGTCTGAAGTCACGTCTAACCCACCGAGGTGCTGGAGAGTTAGGACGCTGGCGGAAATAAGCACTGGGATTGGTAGAGGAATCCAAGACACAAAAGGGAGATGAAAAAGGAAGAGGTTAGAAGAGGAACCTAGAGGACTCTGAGGAATGACAGAGAAAGAAAATTGTCATTTCCTTGACACTGAAAGAAAGGAGAGGAAGAGCAGGGTGTAGAGAGAGGGGGTGGAAGGAGACAGAGAGACAGGGAAGGAAAGAGAGAAAAAGTGCACACACTGTATTCCATAATTAATATGGCCTTTAGCTTGAGCAGAACTGAATTACTTTTAAGCATTGCTTTGGGTAAGTCCACAGATTATTAGACATTTTTTTTAGGAGTCAAAATCAATTAACAGAAATTTGATTTCAATCGACAGGATAAAAAGAAGGTAATCTTCAGGTTCAGTTTTGATTGTGATGATACATCTCACATATGGCCTTAAGTACAGAAAACAGTCCTCGGAGGGACTCCCGCAGAAAGAGACTCGCCGCGGGCAAACTAACCACACGGGTTCCTGTGATTGGTTGTAGCCGTCATTAGTGCCACTGCTGTTTAGGAACTACACACAGACAGGACATGGTGACAGCTAAGACTTTAAAGCCTATGTATTTTTCAAACAGCTTTTCAAACTGTTTTTCATGACAGAATTTTTTCAGCTCTATCATTAACTGCTGACAAGCTGACAGAATAAATACTCCAGCCTTTAAGAAGCCATCTAACGGTCTTGTCCCCTCCCCCTCCTGGAGCTGGCTGGGGAGGGTGGAGAGGGGGCGAGGGGAGGAAGAGATGGAGCTAGAGGGGACCCGGTGGCTGCAGCCCCTCTCCTTACCTCGTCAGCTTGGGCGAGGAGCTCGGCGAGTTCCGCATGCCTCCGTTTCGTTGCTTTTTTTTTGGTGACAGCGTTGATGGCTGCTCATCTTCAACTGGAAATACAGGCATTTCATGAGATTATGAACGGTTTGAGGCAGACTGAAATACAGGCACAATATCAAAGGACACACACTCACGGCTCAGTCACTCAGTAGGAACTCGGGGCTGTGTTTTAGGGCCCAGCGACAGAGACCAAATAAGTTAGTCAAAGAGGCCAGTTTAGAAAAGGTGAAAGTGTCACCTCTTTACACTCCAGCCTATGAGCATGCACTTTAAAGAGACTAGATTAACAGTTGGTAAACACCCTGCCATGGAAAGAAAAGAATCTGTGATATATCTGTATGCAATATATATACATAGACATATATTTGGGAACACTCAATAACAATTATTTTTTGACTTAACATTGGTTACTTTGCTTTGCCGAGTAATCAATGGGTCTCCTCATAACCAAGATTGGAAATGAAGTTGTGTGTGAGATAGGAGCATAATAGCTGAGAGCCTGCTGCTTTTGCAAATGAACCAATTTAGCTGGTTCCTAATCCCAGCACACCAGAGAAGGAGCCTTGGAGACAGGCAAGGACTTGATGTCTTAAGAGCCAATGTTTCAATCAGTCTGGGACTGGGAACACTGAGCATGCTGGCTCAAAATCCCCAACCCGACTCAGCTCTTGTCTTCCCACCTCCCACAAGGGAGGGCACATGGGGGCCATGCACATGGGATCAATTCTTAATTGATTAAGACAGGACAAGGCTGTGAGTTCGGAGAGCCCCGGCAGGAGAAGAGCACCCAAATGAAGGAAGTTGCCGGTGTTATGATATCTCTTGATATCTCTGATGATGTGGATGGGGACATGGAGGGAGGGCAGTGGAGGGGACTGGAAACCAAAGGCTGTTTCCCAAATGTCTAAACCACACAGATCGCTAAGCAATGTGAAGCTTTGTTCACAAACAACACAGCACACTCTACTGCTTTTGCCCAAAGACACCCACTAATAAGCTTTGTAGCTGTATTAGCCTGCATCATGCTTCTTTTTAAGAGAGCTGCTTGATAATTAGCAGATGCGTGCCCAGCCTGTCACCCAAGGGCATCGGCAGCAAAATTCTAGTCCTCTCCCCACCCCCACAATTCAGGCTAAAGCTGTAATGTCAAGAAAGAAAAATAGGATCCTCATATTCTCAGAGATGACAGCGACACAGATTGGGAGGGAGCACCCGGAAACTCAGAATGCACAGCAGTTACCTTAAAGCTAAGAAGAGAAATATTAGCGTGATGACATCAAAAGAAACTTCACATAAGTTAACCGTGTCCAATTATTAGGGGAGAAAAGCCATCTCAGCTACTCGATATTCTCTAGAAAGACCGTATTAGGACATGCACTATATGACATTTCCCTGAAACCCTAAATAAATTTAGTATGTTACAATACATAGTTTCAAGGGGCCATATCCAACTACCCTCCAAACCTGCTTCAAAGTTTCACACTTGGGAAACTCTCCCACTGTCGGGGGTTATCTAAATTCTGCAAAGGGAGTGAGAATGTATTTGGAGGTGAAAGCAACACCAGAAGAAATGAAGGCCACAGAAGCACCTTAGAGGCCCCCTGTCCACTCAGTCTCCTCCCCCACCCTCCACACACACCTCATCCCCAGAGGCCCCGGCTCTGGCTGTGACCATATCAGTCACACAGGCTCCAGGCAAGGACTACGTTGGGAGGAGGGTATCGCATCTTATCAGAAATGAGTATCCACAGCATATCACACAGAGACTAAACAGCACTTAAAAGATTAAAGAAAATAAATACAAGCCACATAAGTGGTATTGAAAAAAATCACTTCGAGTTGATATGCATCTCCCAGCAAGCAAACAGGCACCTGAGCTTGACCTAAATTCATCTTCCTTTCACAGGATAGGGGGCCCTGGTTATCCCAGGCAATAATGGGATAGAAAGGCAGGGGTGTATGGAGGGAGAGAGAGAGAATGTGTGTGTGAGTGTTTATGTGTGTTTATGTGTGTGCGTGCATGTGCTTTTGCACTTCCCTCGTTTTAGGATGGCACAGAAAGTCTTGCACTGACTCCTCCCATAATACCTGGTGACTGTTAAATACACATCACTTGTCAGACTAAATAATGTACATATGCAACTAAATGAGTTCCAGTGGGGAGACTAATCCAGGGCTCTTTCACACCCGTCTTCATACAGCTAGAACAAAATCTCCAAAAAGATCTTTTACCAAGTCTAGTCTACTATTGCTACTTTGATTCAAAGCCACCATTTGTTGGCATGGTTTTCCTCAGTTGTGCAATGAGACATTATTAGTTAGGGTCTGAACAGAAATCACACTCACGGGCATCTTTTGTTGGGTTCTTTTGCTTAACTTTTGTTTCCCATTTGCACTGGGCCTACAATAAATAAGTCTCTTTGATTAAATGCCCATTATTCTTACACCTTGTCACCGTTTACCTGCAGTGATCTTCAGATGGATGACTTGCAAGTTAATGCCTGTTAGCCAGCTCCAGGGAAACACCTAGTTCTGGTGCTAAAGTTATGCCTCCTTCTATGCAGGGAACTATTTATTTTCATTGCAATTCAGAAAGATCATCCATCATAATCATACTGCATTTAAACTGGGATTTGTTCTTTTAAATGAAACTTGTGTTCAAAGGTTTCCTCCTGCACTCACAGCCTGGAAATGCAGATCTGTTCCCTGAAGAGATGGGGGGAAATGTCTCCAGCTTAAATATATGAACGCTGTGTAATGGAGACCATTACATATGGCTTAGATCCCACGGGAGAAGCAGTGATAACTCCTTTCTCATAAGTAGGATATAAACCATATTTAATTATTATCCTTTATATGGATTCTATCAATTTCTGCATATTTAAAGAAAGCAGATCTAGGAAAACTTTTAGTTAAGCTATAAAATATCATTTTCATTTCAAAGCCTCTGTGACTATATGTGAGGAATAAAAATTGAATTAAGAGAGACAAATTTATTTATTATCATGAAAGACACATGTATGGAAGTAAAGGGCCACTATCTCAGGCCAGTGCACCTTTACAGATTCATATTTAATTTAATTTTCAGCTAATTACAACACACCTCTGTCTCCAGCATTTTTGTTTGCCTCTTGCTGTGGAAGTCACATGAAGATATGATCTTTTAAGGGAAACTGACTTACCAGCTTCTTTAAAACACAAACAAGTTCAGGAATCCAATGTGGAATTTTTATAGGAGCTGAACTCCATCCAGTCTCCAAGTACTCATAAAATTCAAGGGCTTGTTTTTGCACATCCCTAAGTATAACACTTAATGTGCTGTTGTAACTTCCCAGTGCTCGCTTGTTTAATAGGCACTGAATCTAACAGTTTTACAGTTTGGGAAGACTCAGTGCTAGAAAAATGTCAGGCAAATCTAATGAGGCTTCAGATCCCTTGGTCTGTGCTAGAGTTTAATTTAAAGTTACAATGATGTTTTAACATGTTTGCTTATACTTGACTAAAGAGGATTCATTATTTCAATGACATAACCTCCAGACAATGTTCTGGGAATTGATTTAAGATGTGGTGGTAATTCCAACAGCCTTAATGCAGAGTTGAACATCTGTAACAACATTTTACTCGACTTTTCATCAGCATTCTGTTTTCAAGCAAAAGCAAGGCAACATCTCCCAGAAATACTGGCCAGAACCCTGGGCTTACTTCAAGATGCTCATATGTTTTACTAGATTTTTTTTAAAAAGAAATCTCTTTCTTTATTGGTTTAGCGAGCATGCATGCACTGTGCTGACATTCACCAATGTCTGGTTGTGGGCACTTTGAGTCAGGTGGGACAATTCCAACTTTCACCCTTTCCAAATCGTCCACGGCTGGCCTGGGATGGACCCCATGCTCAGTCCCAGCCTCGGGCACATCCACTGTTTTGTCAACAGGGTTCAGGGCAAGATGCCCTTTGGGACTTAAAGGTGAATTTGTTGGCTGGAGTTAAAAAATAGTTCAAAGCAAATAAACGTGGAAATGTAATAAAAGGCAAACAACCCATAAACATGAGTCAACTGGCTATCTCCATTACATTATTAATCACCACATCTGGAGAAACCCACATCTGCACACATTTAGCAGGTCATTAGTAATGTCATATTCACACTGGAATCACTCAGAGTAAGAGGCATGCAAAGTGGCTTGAGTGCAAAGGCATCTAGCTCGCAGAGCTTCTGACTGAAATCTCGAGCAAGCAGCTAGTTTTGAGGTGGGGTCGTTTTAATTATTATTTATGTTTTTTTATGGGTTTCCTCTTTGGCACTTTGCTGCCCAACAAGCTACATGCAAGCTGAAATCCAGAGTACTGCATCTTTCTTCTTCAAGTGAGCTCAGCGTGTTAAGGTAAAACACTGGGCTGCAGGGCAGTTACTAAGAGTTGGGCGGGTTCCAGTACGCCTTCACCTGGCTCAGTCACAAGCCGAGAATTGTGAGTTGCCATCTTGAACTCAAATAGGTCTTTGGGATAGCGTGATCTAGCTCCAACCTTGACTGCCAAACAATAACAAGAAAAGAAAACATGGAAATCAACCCTTGGTGAAATTTTCATTATAAAAGTTCCAAGCCAATTTTAACATTGAATAGAATTACAGCTTTAAATTAAAAAATGGAGATTTTTGGCCTCAGAGCTGATTTGCAAGGTTTTTGTTTTTTCTTTTACCATGATGACTTCTTGAAATTCGTTCTGCGGTGCGGTTGTCGTCAATGTCAGAAGACAATCTTGTTTATAGAATAATTTCCACAAACGCATAGGACCCCTTCTCCTCCACAAATACACAGGCATAGAACACTCAGTTGAACACCAAAACCAGGAGCTCCTGAAGCCAACTAAAAAGCATCCTGCTGAATCATCATTACATTTCAGGTCATCAGCCCTCAATGCTAAACTGTATTCAACTCAAACCTCTAGTTTGTTCCACCCAAACCAGAGGTATTGCCACCTAACTGGCATTAAATGCCATGGATTTACTACTTCTAAGCTATCTGTTCATCACACAGTCTGGGCTAGCTA